TTGGACATTATCTTGAGGACCCTATCTTGACCAGTCACTGAGGGTTTTAAACTGGTAGAGAAGATGTACCTTTTGGAAGGGTTACTTAAGCAATGTGAGGAAGAATTTAAAATAACACGTATGGATAGTGGAGCTAGATTGCTTGGGTTCAGATTCTACCTCCAATTTCTTAGCAGTATGTGCCTTAATTATTATTAGTCTGTAAAACAGTTAATAGTAGTATCTACCTCATAAGATTGTGATGAAGATTAAATGAGTTAATATATGTGAACCCTTAGAACATACCAAGTATCATATAAGTTTTGAAAAAATCAAATAAGTTTTTTAAATTAAGGAGTTTGAGGCAGATTTTAATTTTGACTGCTCTGGACCCATTTTTTCCCCCTCAAATGCAAGCAGTATCAGTTACCAAAAGCTATCCCATATATTTCTGGCATTTGACTCTGGAAAGAACTACCTTCACTATGGTGCATACTTTGAATTGTCATGTTATGGTATTTGTAACACTACCTCTTGAATCATACCCTGGAGTCTTGGACAGCTAGGGTAGGAATTCAATCTGTGGCTACTAAAATGAGGAACAGTTGACTCTCCTGGCAAGCATTCTAGACAGCTCACCTGTCTGCAGTCTTTGGATCAGGAGACCATAACACACATCTTACCTAGAGAAAATTAAAAGTATAGTATAATTACTTTTACTTCCAAACAATAGTTATTACTTCAAGCCTTCACAGAAATATTTTAACTGTGAAAGTGTTGCTTCTGAGTGGACAAAAAAAGAGGAAAGAAAAGAAAAAAGTTCTAGATACTATGCTTTGGAACCAAATGTTGGCCCTGTTCAGAAGTGGGAGTGTGTGTTGGATTTTTTTCAGATATTTGGCCTCAAAGATTGGTAGGGTCTGGAAAAGAAGAGTTTTTGTCTTTAGTTTTCTTAATTTTGCTGGCAAGGAGGTGCAACAGAAACAAAATCATATGTTGTTCACCCATACAATTCATTTAAGTCTTGTTTTAAAAACTATTTTGAGTTTATCATAAAACTTTGAAAAACATTTGTCACTTTTATTTTCTAAGTGTTTTTCTTCCATACAGGAACTTTGCATTGATGGCGACTAATTTGTGTGTTTTTCTTTTTTTTCTTTTTTTCTTTTTGCATGCTGTCCCCTGTGTTGGAACTCTCAATAGAGAGTAAGTTGGTTCAATATTTGTTGGAAACCTAACTTTACTGCATGACTGTGAAATTAACCCTTTTTCTCTATTTTCTCTCCCGAAGAGTTCATGCAGTGTTGGAACCTTTGCAATCCACGAAATGCTATTTGCAGTTATGCAAACTATCATTCTGTTTGGAGATGTGCTTTTTAATCTACTAATTAATCTAATTTGATTATGTTCTGTTCTATATTTGATGACTGGCACACCTAAGATATAAGGGCGTTTAAGAAAAGTCTGCCTCAATTGTAATAGTTTGAATGTTTTAATTATTTTCCAACAAATTATATTTATGAGATATGTGGGGTAATAAATTGATTCTATTGAAAGTTACTTCCATTGAATTATTTTAAAATGATTCCGAAGTTTCACAATTAAAAAAAAATTTAGCCCCCATCTTCCCACAGATGACATTTTATTAATGTCAAGCCATTAAAGCAAACAGAGTAGATTATGGAGTGGTAATTCTCATCTTTGTCTTCTGAAAGAAAATGTGTATCACTGGTATTATATTAGCATAGTCACTTTCTACTTTGTTCTTTAATCATAGCTAGGGAAATGGGAGCATATTAACATCTGACAAGAGCCCTTTTTGGTAGGGCAATCAAATAAGAATTTTTGTATATAATTTTCAATACATTTTGGATGTGGATAATGAATGAAGATGGATATGTATATATGTATGTATATGTAAGTAGAGTTGACCCTTGAACAATGAGGGGGTTAGGGAGAGTCACAGACCCCTGTGCAACCAGAAACCTGTATATAATTTTTAACTCCCCAAAACATAACTACTAATAGCCTAGTGTTGACCGGAAACCTTGCCAATAACATAAACAGTCAATTAACATTTATTTTTTATTATATGTATTATATACTATATTCTTAAACTAGAGAAAATAAAGCGTTATTAGCCAGGTGTGGTAGCTCACAATCTGTAATCCCAGCACTTTGGGAGCTGAGATGGGTGGATCACCTGAGGTCAGGAGTTCGAGACCAGCCTGGCCAACATGGTGAAACCTCATCTTTACTAAAAATACAAAAAAATTAGTTGGGCATGGTGGCACCAGCCTGTAATCCCAGCTACACAGATGGCTGAGGCAGGAGAATCACTTGAGCCTGGGAGGCAGAGGTTGCAGTGAGCTGAGATTGCACCAGTGCGCTCCAGCCTGGGTGATAGAGTGAGACTCCATCTCAGAAAGAAAATGTTACTAAAATCATAAGGAAGAAAAAATACATTTGCTTACTAATTATTAGGGGGAATTGATCACCATAGAGATCTTCATTATTGTCATCTTCACCTTTAGTAGGCTAAGAAGGAAGAGGAGGGATGGGTCTTGCTATCTCAGGGGTGGCAGAGGTGGAAGAAAATCCATGTATAAATGGACCCACACAGTTTAGAAGGATGTAGTTCAAGGGTCAGCTGTGTGTGTGTGTGTGTGTGTGTGTGTGTGCGCGCGCGTGTGCGTGCGTGCACGCACATGATCATTTAGTAAGTACATTGATAGGATATAGCATTTTTGAAAAATAATAGTACAGGCCAGACACATGGCTCATGTCTGTAATCCTAGCACTTTGGGAGACTGAGGTGGGAGGATTGCTTGAGGCCAGGAGTCAAGACCAACCTGGGCAACAAAAGTAGACCCCATCTTTACAAAACTAAAAAAAATTAACTGGACATGATGGTGCATGCCTGTAGTTCTACCTACTCAGGAGGCAGAGGTGGGAAGATTGCCTGAGCCCAGAAGTTTGAGGCTGTGTGAGCCATGATTGTGCCACTGCACTGCAGACTGGGTGATAGAGCAAAACTCTGTCTTTTCTCAAAAACAATAACAAAATTTTAAAAGTAGTACAGTCCTTATCTAGGGTACAGCAAATAACATGTCCACATTTTTATTTAGTTACTCACATTTTATATAACAAAACACAATTTCTACTTAGGAAACTCAGAGAAATCTTCTTGAAGAAAATGGCATCTCAGATCTTGACAGAAATAAGCTTTAGATATGTCAGTGTGAGAATAAAGAGCTTATTGAAAGTAGCTAGCCTGAGTACAGAAAAAGAAGTGGGAGATACTAGAAAGTTATAAGAAATGAAAAGAAGTTAATGTTGGCTAGGATAAGGGGAAGGTCTTTCCTTGCATTGAAGAAAAAGGGTTGGCTACCAATTAGAGAATAAATTTCACTTGATTTTATTAATCAACTTTTTATTGGGTTCTCAGCCTCTGATAACTTTTAAGCTTGGTCTAGTTCTAATTGCTGCACACAAGACTATAAAAATATAGTCTTTATTTTCAAATGGTATGTGTTGGAAATGGGAAGATAACATAAATACAGAAAAGCTAAATAGCACCGTAAATAGCTAGTCCCTCTATGAGTTCTAAGCCAGGAAGATCGGTGGCCCTGACTTGCAGTCCAAGAAGCTTCTTGACCAGGACTTGAGTGGTAAATTCTATAGGAAGTCACATACTGTGTGTAAATGAATGGAGTGGGGATGTGTTAGAAAATCAGAGTGAGTGTGTGAGATGTGTTCAAGGATAAGGAGTTTATGTTGCCGGATAACCCAAGATCAATTTGGAGTTAGAAACTTGTCTAAGTATTTCAGACATTATAGACAGTACAGGGACATTAAAGGATTTTGTTTCCATCCAGAGTGATATCACAGTCTGATGGTGACAAAGAAATATGAGTTGACAAACCACAGCCTGCAGACCACATCCTCCCTGCTGCCTGTTTTTTGAATAAAGTTATATTGGCACACAGCTATGCTTATTTGTTTTTGTGGTGTCTATGGCTGTGCTAAATAGCAAAGTTGAGTAGTTGCAATAGAGACCACATGGTTTGCAAAGCCCTAGAATATTTACTATCCGGCCTATTACAGAAATGGTTTACTGACCCCTGGTATACAGGAAATATAAAACTAATGTCAGGCTACTACAGAAATCCAGACATGAGGTCAGAAAGACTTGGTGCTTTCAGTAATGGTATGGTAAACATATTTGGAGAAGGCCAGGAAAAAGCTGTTTTAGAGGTTCTGAGGCCTCGTGGGATAGATCAGAGAGACTGTGTCAAGTAGGCCATACTTGTGATGAAAACAGAATCATGATGAAGACATGCAAAAGGAGAATTCCTGGCAACTAGAAAGAAGGGAAATGAAAGGAAAGCAGTGTCAAGTTACAGAATAGCCAAATGTACTAAACTTAATGAAGAAGCTATTATACATCATGATTAGAAAGTAATTGGTGGGAGCAATAGAATGGAAGCAGAAAGAGTGTTTCTTGGAATGACATCTGCCACTGTAAGCAAAGGATTTAAGTAGAGAATAAAAGAATAAAGATAACAGAGGAGACCATGTTTTAAAAGAGCAAGAATATAAAATAGATTAGCCTTGAAATGAATCAGATCACTTCTTTCTTGGAGAGATGACGATTAGAAGGATAGGTACAGAGGAAATCAAGTTGAGGGAAGAGTCAATGGAGAATTTCATGTTGAATGACAGTAAAGTAGATGAGGTAAGTCATCTGGTGATAGAGTGAATAGAGCACAGCTGAAAACCAAGTGACCTAGCCTTAAGTCCTGGCCTAGCTATTAACCATCTGTGAAACATTGGGCAAGTCATATTTTTCTCTGATTCCCTGTTTCCTCATCCATAAAATAGGATGGTTGACCTAGGCATTCTAATGTCTGTGATTTTCAGAATGGATTTTCATGTAGGAAAACTTGAAGTTGGAATCTTCAGGAGCATAGATAAGTGTTGAAACAAGAGTGAAAGTGAACCAAAGAATAGAATAATGATGTCCTGGTAAATGAGCTTTAGAGGAGAGGCAGGAAGCCCTGATTTGTAGCATTTGCCAATTTCTGAGATGTCAAGCTACCAGCCATTTCACAAAATTCCTGAATATTTAACAGTTGACTCTAGATAGGTACAAACTGATGCCAGCACGTCACTGAACAGATTTGCCAGGTAACAGTAAGAATGAGGATCAGATTAGTTACATGCATTTGTCACAGACTAGGTCTAGTGAAGTTCCTTGACAATATTCTTGGCCCTCAGAATAGGGCCAGAGACAGTTTAATGAAGCAGTTGGCCAAGTTTGGAATCTAAGAGAAGCCAAGTTCTTGGGGAGTTGTTGGGGTAGGGGTGGGATGAGAGTTAAAGGAATCCACACTGAGTAAGAACAGTGTTGAAGCATACATTGCTGGGGACCAGAGAATACTCAAAAATTTAATTATAGTTTCTGCTGTTACAAGTATAGAGCTTTTTAGCAAATGGCTAAAGTATATTATTTTTAACTCAGTTTAAATGTTAAAGCTTAATTATGATTCTGATCAAGAAAATCCTTCATTTCTAACAAGAAAAAACAAGAGTTTATCTGTAACTGTATAAAGGAATTCAAGAAATATTCATTGAGAGCAAAACCCTTAATTCTCAAATTAACATAATTACTTTTTGAGATTACCTCAAAAAGTTAATGATTTTAAGATTTTTTTAACCCACAGTTTTTAATCTATTATTAAAATGTTTATTATAATTTGTCCAGTAATATATTATGGCTGACAGTCTTAAGAGGTTTTTCTTCTTTACCTAGAACCTAATTTTCTAGTGTGGTGTTGACTGTCTTATAAAGCGATACAGCCTAGATAAAGGTCACTTTTCATAAGTATTTTTATGAGCTACATCACTTATAAACATTAGCTTCCCTTCACTGTAATAATTTTTTCAACCTTATGAAAATTTTTAAACAAATAGATTAATATTGGAAATAGGTAAGAAACCCATAAATGGATATGGAGACTAATAGTATGCCATCTAGGACTTTTTGAAAATCACTGAAGTTTAGATGTAGACATTCACCTTGGATTTATTTTATTTTAGATGCAATTACAGTTATCTCAAATTATTTAAAATTACCATTGAGGCAGTTTTGATAAATGACATATTCCATACCAAATTATTTATGACAATTTTCATTTTGAGAAATCTGAGAATTCTCTAATTATTATACCAGATAAATTGTATACTTGAAGGTCGTTATAGTCATCTTTTTATTTATGCAGTGCCACTCATTGGAAAAGCTGAGAGTTAGTGAAACTATACTTTCTTTCCCTACATTTTATATAAAACGGATTTCACTTTAACCAGTTTAAGCTGTGGCATCATTGATAACATTAGGTGTGCCAGCCATTATGGCCAAACTTTCTTTACCAAGTGATGCTGCATGGAATAGCTAATTGTCGAACTTCTGCAGAAGTTGGATAACAGTTCAAATGTACTCTTGTATCACAGTGTCCAATGAAAAGCAAGAGAGATTGTTTTTCCGCTTGGCTGCCAATCGCTGTGCCTCTGATTCCTGTGTTCCTTTCTATATTTGTTTTGAATTGAACATAGAGGTCAATATTTCCTCTTTTTTTCTCCCTACCTTTCCCGTTTATCAACTGTAGGTATTCAGCATGTTTTTGGAGACTCTAGTGGATTTCATACAAGTCCACAAAGATGATCTTCAAGATTGGTTGTTTGTGCTGCTTACACAGCTACTGAAAAAAATGGGTGCTGATTTGCTTGGATCTGTTCAGGCAAAAGTTCAGAAAGCCCTTGATGTTACAAGGTAATTTTTTTTTCATATATTTCAAGTTAACCAGATAATAACTAGGAACATTTAACTCGTATATTAATAGTTCAGATTTCTGAGTCCCTTTGAACAATTTAGACTGCCTGGAGTCCATTAGAAGATTGTTAATTATGCCCATTCACATTGTATATTTAATGCAACTTTGTTTTAGGTCAAACCCTGCATTTCTTTTATAAAAATTGTATTAATATTGGTTGAGTAATTCAAGGTGGTATTTTATCTTAATTGATATATCAGCAACTGGACACAGTGGCTCAGACCTTTAATCCCAGCAGTTTGGGAGGCTGAGGCAGGCGGATCACTTGAGGTCAGGAGTTCAAGACCAGCCTGGTCAACATAGCAAAAACCTGTCTCTAGTAAAAATAATACAGATTAGCCAAGTGTGGTGCCAGGCACCTGTAATCCCAGCTACTTGGAAGGCTGAGGCCAGAGAATCACTTGAACCTGGGAGGTGGAGGTACAGTGAGCTGAGATTGTACCACCGCACTCCAGCCTGGGCAATAGAGTGAGACTCTGTCTACAAAAAAAAAAGAAAAGAAAAGAAAAAAGTATTAGCAAAGTAAGGTTGAATATTTTATTTAATCTACTGTAAAAAGTATTTTATGTTTATTTAAACAATGTTTATTATGCATTTCAGTATTCTGAATCTCTTTTCAGAAGGTTTTGAACCAATGATATAATTCTATTTCTTGTATAGATCGTTGAAGTCACTTATTTCAAATACCCATTTACTAGGTTGAGGTGAGTCAGAATTCAGATTTTAGGTGTAAAGAAACATTTCTAAGAATGTTAAACTTTTTGCTGAATATATTTTTCTGATTAAATCCATAGTTGAGGCAAGATAGGCTGTTATTTACTGTAATGTTGCTTTTTAACCCTGTACTGAGTACTAGTTCAAATGTTTATATTCTTCTGAGGATACATTTATTTTATATTATACCAGATAGGTTATACCACATGCATATACCACTTTATGCATGCTTTTTGGGTGACATTATGTTTTGGTATTAAGCATAGTCTTTGCTGTTACATACGTACTTACTTAATTTTTGTTTTGTTTTGTTCTTATTTCAGAGAATCTTTTCCAAATGATCTTCAGTTCAATATTTTAATGAGATTTACAGTTGATCAGACCCAAACACCAAGCTTAAAGGTAAAAATTTGAGGTCTTTTAAAGACATTATAAGGAGTTGAAGTATTTTTTAATAAAGTGATATTGATATTTGTATTTCCGTCACATGAGAAGCTGTTCAATCAGTGGGTTTTGTTTTTATAAACTTTCAGACAGTCAAGCCAGCACTTCGGGACCAGCTTCACTCTTTTTGGAGCTCCAAGGTTTTTTTGTTTTGTTTTCATCTGCATTATTTCTTTTCTTAACTCTCTGCAGTGTTTGCATCTATATTCAACTACTAATCTTCGTAAGCCTTCTACGCATGCACATATTTTATTTCAAATGTTATTTAAATGTCAGACTCTAAGTCTTTTGGAGAAACTTAATGATGATACATATTTAGAAGGCATCACAGTATGGCCATCTAACCCTAAGCTGGTTATGCAGACTCACTCTTAACTAATTTTATGTTTGTGATTTCCCAATACTTTTTTAAGTGTTAGGCATTTTAACAGGTATTTTAGGCAAAATGTCTGTTTTGCCTATGTATTAACTAAGCAAAAATTTTAAAATTTAATCTCAATGCCTTTCTTCAATTATCCTTAACTGAAATAGTAACTTTTTTTTCCTGATGTATGCATAACATTTGGAATTATAGTTAACTTTCTCATCTGTTATATGCACACATTTTGCAGTTAATGTAAAAACTAGATGGATTCCAATTTGTGATTTTAAATGATTATTAAATTTTACATAAAATTTAAAAAAATTAATGTAAAAGAATAGCCCCTGAATTCTTTACTAAAGTTTTTTTTAGTGAGTTTTATTAAAGGAGATTAAAGTCAGGGAAATAACAAGCATATGTGCTTACAACGATTCCTATATTTTTCTGCTCTATCCTGCACGAAATATATTTCTACAAGCATTACTGCCCAGGATTGGTTTTTCCCTTACGTTTCTGAATGCAGTTGTTCCTCAGAATCACAATTCTGTTTCTTACCAGGGTTGACTTTGTTAAACCAAAAAGTGTCTTGAGACAAGTCTAAATCAATTTAGAGCTTTAGTTTGCCAAGATCGTGGATGCATCCAGGAGGAATAGACACAACAAGTAGGATCTGTGACATGTGCTTTTTTTCCAGAGAGCATTTTGAGGAGTTTAATATTTAAAAGAGAAAGAGCCAGCAGGAGGGGAAAGAGGAATAGTCAGTTATGTTTGCATTCATCTCATGCTCAACAAATCTTCGTCTTACGTAAGAGAACGTAAATATAGAGTAGAGGAAGGAGTCAAATATGTATTTGTCTCTGGGTGAGTGGAGGGATGATTTCTAGTCTCATCTCTGTCCTCTACCTGCAAAGATAAACTGTTAATTTACATTGTCTGCATGAGGGAGACCATCTGAAGAAATATGTAGCCTTCTATCTTGGAGCTGTCTGTTTATGAACAAATGGGAGACAGTTTTTGGATGACCCAGTTCCCAAGCTTAACTCTTCCCTTTGGCATAGGCCATTTTATTTTCCTTTCACAACTTATACTCAATATAATGTTGTTTTCTTAGCACTTCTTGGGGAAAGAGGTTTTATCTTTTGCTTTTAAAAAGTAACCTGTTCAGGCCGGGCGTGGTGGCTCAAGCCTGTAATCCCAATACTGTGGGAGGCCGAGGCAGGTGGATCACGAGGTCAAGAGATCGAGACCATCCTGGTCAACATGGTGAAACCCCATCTCTACTAAAAAAACTACAAAAAATTAGCTGGGCATGGTGGCGCATGCCTGTAATCCCAGCTACTCAGGAGGCTGAGGCAGGAGAATTGCCTGAACCTGGGAGGCAGAGGTTGCGGTGAGCCGAGATCGTGCCATTGCACTCCAGCCTAGGTAACGAGCGAAACTCTGTCTCAAAAAAAAAAAAAAAGTAACCTGTTCTCACTCATAAGCGGGAGTTGAACAATGAGAACACATGCGCACAGGGAGGAGAGCATCACATACTGGAGTCTGTCAGGGGGAACTAGGGGAGAGACAACGGGGGGTGGGGAGTTGGGGAGCGATAACATGTGGAGAAAAGCCAGATATAGGTGATGGGGAGGAAGGCAGGAAACCACATTGCCATGTATGTACCTATGCAGCAGTCTTGCATG